AAATTTTAAATATAAAAAACTCGAGATGATTTCAATTTGCGAATTTGGCAGAACCGAGTAAGTAATTTCTATTTCAGTTTTATGATGGACCGGCACCTTCCCCGATCTCCGTTGTTGGAATTAAAGAGGTATTCCGGCCCCGCTAAACACTCAGAAAAAGAACACGGGGTTATCCATGTCGTGGTTTCAAGGCAATATTGTGACAACTGTTAAACCTAACTGTCAAGCCGTGCAAGTTTTGCTTTAGTTAAAAGTCAAACATTTGTTTTATATACAATGGATTGCTTAACAATCGCACAAAGCATTAAAATTGCTAAAGCTTAGGGCAAACACGTTTCATGCTTCAAGAAGAGATTATGGTGTTCATAATCGTCAGATTGCTCATGCAATCGTTAAAATTTTAAAGAAATTCGAAGAGACTGGGTCTGTTACAGATATTGTAAGGTCTCTGCACCATCGGTTTGGCTCTTCCACCTAAAATATCACTACTGTAAGTGAAATTTTAACAGAAGACCCGAATGTGTTTCCTCGACATGCATAAGAGCCGGGAATACGCTTACTGAAACGATCGTCAAAGGTTTTATGGCGTGGTTATGGGGAATATCCTGTTGGCCAAAATGCCGATTGGGCTATTGGTATATTTAATATCTCATAACTCGCAAGCACCGATCGATGCTGTCATCTAACACAAACTTCGCTGTCATATATTATTTGAACCACCCTAGTAAATGTGAGTCCGCATACGTGTATGTTAGTAATTTATGTAGAACCAAACACAAGAAATTAAGATTTTTCCAAATAAACTATTCTAATTTACATATATATATACACGTATGAACGTATTTTAATATACCCGAGTGTTCTTCTTCTTCTTTCGTCATCTTAAAATTTACAATTACTACACCTTCAAAACCAAAGGCCGCCAATCAGTTTATTACTATTCACAGCGAAATGTTTTACGCCCGCTTAAGCTTTGTTTTGTTTTTCGTTTCCCACGCCACGTGCGTCCACCACCTCCGGCTTTTTGAAGTATCTGAAAATTTTTAAACAGTTTACCAACAACCTTTTCTTGTAGCCAGATTGAGTATTTTCAATAAACTCAGACTTCAACTGTCTCCTTCGCGCTTCACCCACACGGCTATGGGACGGACGCAGAGCCTCCTTCCCTTCTATTTGGAGCATAGACGCCCGACGAACAGCAATTTGTGCTCTCATTCACAAAGATTATTGAAATGGTTTCATTTGTTGTAGTTTAGCGTTAGTTGCTATTTAATAATACAATTGATTTGTTGTAGAAATTACTTGAAATCTTGTTGTTGTTTCCATAGCAGTTAAGTTTTTAGTATTTTCCTCTTTTATCTGGTTCTCGTTTGTGAGGCCTCAGCTATAAAGGCTATTCCAATTTCGTTATCAGTGAACTATGCGCCGCGGCGTTCTCCGCGATTCTGTCTCCACCACAGACTTCCGCCCATCATTGGTTATCCAAATCTTGCTCGTGTGTGTGTGTGTGTGTGTGTGTATGTGTGATATTTGGACTGTGGACCGTACAACAATGTATTAGTGGGTAATCAGTTATCCACTGCATCCACCCACAATTGCGACGGTTAAGGCAGCAGTTCCGCCAGCCGTGACTGTCACCGACATTTCGCTGATAATTTTCGATTTACGTACATAAATAAGCGTTTAGGGAATTCTTATGCGAACACAATGAAATTCTAAAATTAGATTTCTTTGAGGACAAAGCCTATTGCGCACTTTTATTTCATGGAAATTTCGGATAAATCGAAAATAATGCGCATTTAATTAATATTTATTCCAATTCTAAACGCTCACAGTGGATTTTTATTTACTGTTATGGAAACTATGTAGTATGATTATATTTTTAAAAATATTTCTTATTAATTAGTACGTATATTTATATGAAACTTGTTATCTCTCCGCAATATTATCACCTTTTTGGTATAGTTTTCTCAGATTATTCAGTTTTTCTATCGACTCAAATCTCTCAAATAACTTCCCTCTACTTTATACAGAGATGGTACTTATTATACACGGTGTGTCCCAAAAATAACCGAACTTTTTGGATATAAAATAAAATATCATCATAAAATGCTCCCTTCATCTTGGTTTTCAGTTTTGGAAATAAAAAATAGTTACATCAGACGAATACGGAGGACGGTCGATGAGAGAAATCCCTTTTTTCATTAAAAATTCGAGCGATTTTCGGGTCGTCATTTAATTCATGTGGAACAAATCGCGCACAGACCAACATTTCCCCAAAATCTTCAGTTAAAATTCTCCAAATAGTGTTTTTACTCGTATTCAATTCCTCAGCCAACATTTTCTTAGCAAAATTTGCATCGATACCAATGATTTCACGGACTTTTTCCACCAGTTCAGCACGATTACTAATTTCTGGACGTCCTGCTCTAGGGTCGTCATTTATATACTCACGACCATTTTTAAATCGTGTAAACTACGTATAAACTTGCGTACGACTCATACAATCTTTTTCATGTTTGACACAAAATTGTATATTTGCTCTTTGTTCCATTTTATTTTTGAACCATTAGCACACTGATGGTTTTATTGAAATGACTGTCACTTTTACATCTGTCATCCGACTTACATGATGTTAGGTGCGTTTGAAAGAGGATGAATGTATCTTTTTAATGTTGCAAATTTTCAATAGATGGCGCTGTATGTTGTATGATTTAAATATAAAGTTCGGTTATTTTTGGGACACACCGTGTAAGTTAAAAAAAAAATCGTTTTCAAATTATTTGGATAAACACTATTCACATTTTCAGCTGCCTTACCTCCGCTTACGCCAATATCGAAGAAAAATTTTCGAATGTAGCGTTTTTTCTCTTCGCTGGCTTCCATCTTTGTCTTGCGCTCAAAGACAACTGGGTTAAGTGATCAACATTTATCCCGTTACGTAAGTATACGTTAATAATTTTGAGCCAGCACCGCAGACAACAGTGTCAATAAATAATTAAAAACAGATAACGTCGTTCACGAAGGGGCCAACGTAACATCTAGTTCCGCCGAAGGCTCTAAGCCTTATAGAATACTTATAACAACACTAGAATGTATGAAAAAAAAAAACAATGGGTTAAGCGGGATGATCATTCTCTTTTCCATCCAAAATTGTGCTTGGGGACTTCAACGTCAGGGTGGACAAAGCAGGTATCTTTGGCTCAACTGTCGGAAATTTCAGCCTCCACGACGAAATATCCCTAAGTGGGTGTGGGGTGATCGACTACGCCGCGGCGCGAAATATGGTTGTCTGTAGCAGTAGATTCCAGCACAAGGAAATTCACTGTGCTACTTGGCTGTCTCCAGATCGAAAAACTCTCACCCAGATCGATCATGTTGTGATAGACGGAAGACATGTGCCCAGTGTTTTAGACCTCTCAAAAAACGCCCATATTAATATTCAATATACATCTGATACCTCTGCTCCTTATGGGATATCGATCGGCAGTGCTCGAAGCAATGTGTTAGACGGTTGCCTAGTGATTTAAAGTTTAGAGCGAATAGTGATGCGAGTGGAATTGTGAAGGAAGCGTCCTAGAGGATGAGCTAAGAAAGATGCATGCTCTGTGAGACAGCGAAATTCAATTATGAGTGAAAAGATGAAGGGCAGGTATGATACAGCGATGAACTCCGAAAGCTTTCAGGATGGAGGTTTAGAGTTGCTATATAATCCGCTACGGAAGAAAGGTATGTCCTGTCACTTCAAAGGAACACGTAAGTGTTAAGGCTCACATAATATCATCAAACAGCTAAACGATGTGGTGTGCCGAGTAAAAACCGTGGGGAGACCAAGAAACAAAATGAAAGTGGTCCACTTGAAAAGGCTGGAACAGCGAATATGTCTGATCGCAAACAAGCATGACAGATGAAAGGGAGTTGCCGATAGCTAAAACATATTCCAAAGCACGAGAATCGAGTAATGTGTATGTCGTCAAAGAGTTCCAGAAAGTTTAAGCACTAAGTACGAACATCATTAATTGGGTTTATAAGAAAGAAGTCAGCACAGTGAGGAGTTGGTTACAAAGTTAACTCGTCGGTGACAACATCGGTGCTGAGGGGCTAAGTGGACATGGAAGAGTGTGAAAATTGTAATGTAAGTAATTTTGTACGGGAAAGCAAATTTTGATTTATTGAGTAATAAATAGACGTTGATTGAATTTTTTACATTTAGGAAATTGTACACCATTTGGGTAACTTTTATTAAACAGCCCAGTCAAAAGCACTATGAGGATTTGGAAAATCATCCAGGCATATTTACCTAAATCTTTGCAATTCATACTGTGGCAAAAATGTCAATTACGAGTGCCAGATGAATGTTCGTTATCGAGAATTAAACGAAATAGCTATCCGGGCTGTAAGAGAGTATAGGAGGATACATACAGCTAGAAAGTTCAATTCGTAGTGCACTCGTAAGTGACAACACTGATGTGAACTGAGAATAGAGGGAAGTTAACAAAACCTTAGGGCAATGATTTTTCCAGATTAATATATAAAATCTTTTCAAAACTCTCGGGACTTATATTGTGCAAGTATTCTGATTCACAAAATATCTCACGAGAATTTTTTAAGTTGCTTGACAGTAGCAACATTATTTAAGTGAACTGGGCTGGTAGCACATAAATCAAAGACACAAACCCAGCGTAACAGATGTCGCCTATGAACTATTGTACTTGAACGTAAATGTAAAGCACGTCGTTTCGATACAAGTATGAATAATGTGAAGAAATCTTATTTTCAAGTCATTTTTAAGGAAAAATATCTAATTCATACTTAGCCAATCCATCTAACAATTACAAGGGCTTTTATATATGTATGTGGCCAAATTCTTGTTGATTTCCAAAGAGCGTATGTTTTTCATAAGATATACGCTCTTAGTTTTACTGCTTAGTATTCTGAGAAAATACGCTTACCAACACTAATTATGTAGCCAAATGTCAACATTCTCTGCATTGCTCAGCTGTCAACTACCAAACGAAATCAATAATCGCCTTTCAAAGTTGTTAATTCGATTTCAGTAATTTTCTAATGCGAAAATTTTAATTTGTCAATTTTAAACTACACATTTCGCAAAGAAAACTGTGTCCGGTTAGGGGCAAAGTTCGTGCGTAAACCGGGCGCCGAGTCGAACGTGTGAAATTGTGGAGTAATTTGCGGTGTTGTGTTGCAGTGAGGAAGAGAAAATTGTTTACATTTTTTGTTGTTGAGCTGCTTGCAAGTGAATTGTGCAAATAGTTTAATTATTAAATATTTATGATTGTTTCCGACCTACTTCACATCTTACGGCGCAGCTAGGCGAGGTGATAAAATGTCGGGTAAAACAACGAGGTAGGAAATCATTTTTGGCATATATCAGTTTACTTAGTGCCATATAGTATATGTACGTAGATGGGTGGTTGGGGAAATGACAACAGTGTGTGGCGGGTGTACGGGGCACTGCAGCAGCTGCAGTTAAAGAGCTCTAATTAGCCTATGCAAGGTTCTAGCAACCACTGGCCGCAGCACCAAAAATTTAAGTATAACCCAAAATGCACATTTTACTGTAGCTTTTCTTGTTCAACGCTGTGCACTTTCAATTCGAATAATATTTGTATTTAAATTGGTTTTCTACACCAAAATGTTAACGTCTAACGTCATATACTGCAATCTGAGCTAATAATTAAAAGTTCAGGTGTTAAAGAAAATAAGTAAGGCGAATTATCAAGGTGGCGCCGTAGTTGCTGTTATTTTGGTTCCTTCAGTAGGCCACCTGCGCTCTTCATGGTTGGACTATTTCATTTTCGTAAATAATTACGGGGTAAAGAAGCGCAGAAGCGTTGGAAGGGATAGGTGTACGTACTAGTAGTGGTAGTAGTAGTACATGTTATTGTTTGTATGAAAAACTGTGCGCCCGAATGTTCGCTTACCGCTGAAGTGAGCAGCTGTTTGCTTGTGTAGTCGTATCAGCGTTTTTGTGTCGAAATCGTCTTCATCATGTACTAAATTTAAAATGTGTACTTATTTGTTTTTTTTTTTTTTCTTTGTGCACATCGGCATACCCCAGCATCCACGCGTCCCTGAAACGCTGGTTGTGCTCCAGATAGCCCGTTGAGACGTCGCACAGCATGCATGCCGCGCTCAGTGCTTTTCAAAGTAATGATATGTTATAAGTTAAAAGTGTTTATGTTACTGCTATACTTGACGGTTTACAATTTAGATTATATTAATCCCAATTATTATTGAATTTTTCATCTTCGCTTAGGCTGCCAAAGCTAAAAATTACAAACTAAGTCTCTATTATAATATCTTATTGTTTTTACATCATTTCAGAATCAGCATGTCAATCGCCTCCAAAATATAATGTGCTCACCCGCAACAACCTACCGCTTGAGTTTTGAAATAAGTAAGTGCTACTTAAGTGATGAATGAGTTAGCTTCTAACTCAGACGGTATATGGTAATATGTACAGTATTAGGAACTCATTTTAAATCGGATGACGTTATTGTGCATAATGGTGGTTATAGGATGGATAATAAATATTATGTTTTTAAATATTTCCCATAAACATAAAATATTACGAATGCATAAAAAAAAACATAAATCATATGTGACTACAGTAATATAGTATTCGCGATGAACACTATGCAGGGTGTTTTTTTAAACAAATTTCGTTTAACCAAACGGACTTTAAATAACTAAACATAAGCATCATTACAAATTAACACACTGAGTGCAATTTTTTCGAAGCGATAAGACATTTTAATCTAATATTTTAATGCTAATATTTTGCCGAAAAATCGAGGAATACAGCAAATGGACATATTCACATAGCTATATACACGTAAAAACCACATAAAAATCTACACACATTTATAAGCAGATACTTTTTTGTTTACTTAAATATGTACATACAAAAATATGCAAGACTATAAAATCACACACATACAAATTTAAACGTAAATATTGTTTAGAAAGAATATTCAATTCGTCTGTATATTATCAAAGCGAAAAAACTGAAAAATAAAATTAAATAAAAGTGCAAGAGAAGGTGTAAAAATGTTGTTGTTAGCAAATGATTGTTTTATTGCGTATTTTGCGAAACATACAAAAGCACAAACCTAGTTACATATACACATATACCTATGTGTTTATTTAATTGACTAGTTGGGTGGGTAACGCTGATATGAATCAATTGAAAGGCATTGTAAATAAGTAACAGCCGAGTTGAATACGCGTCGATACTGACGCGGCTAGTGACGCCCTTAAACATACATACATAAATACATATATTGATAAGAAAAATAAAAATGACTGTCAATTTAAGGCAGTTCAGTTTAAACCAAGCAGATTAATTCGCTAATCAAAATTTTTAAATTCATTATACATACAGATGTACGCACGTGATGATTGATAATTGGCTATAGCAAAAAAAATAATAGTTAATTTTTTTTAAATTTGTGATTTTGTGAGTTTGTGCTCCTTTGTTTTCCTTTTCAGGAAAAAGTGATAAAAAATAAATAAAAAAAAATTAGAAATTCATGTTTATAAAAGTATAAAAGTTGGCCGAAATTTCCGGATATGCTTTCTTGAAATCTAAAGACTGTGAGAGGTATAATAAATAATTACACTCAGTTGAATATAAATACATATATGTGTATGCTTATAGATATGACAAAGGCAAAGGTTAAGGTCTAAAAATATAAAAAAAAACTTTACTTGTGTTGTCAATAAAATAATTGATAAAGAGAGAAATTAAATCAATAACAAAACCATAAATAACATTAATGTTTCTATAGCTTTACAATTACATACACATGTGCTGCTTGTGTACCACTATCAACGCGTCAAAATAGTTGTTTAGTAGTTCGCCAAAAAAAATGAAATAAAAATAATTCGTTAATTCGAAACACGAAAAGTTAATTAATACCAAAAACTGAAAATTAAAATTTCGTAAATAGACCAGCATGCGCATATGTAAAATATTGTATATATAGAAATCAGCAAGCAAACAAAAAAAAAAAAAAAAAATTCCTTGAAAATTACGATTCAATAATCTCGTTGTGTTCCTTTCACGCTGATGCATAACCATCACACAACGCCTCCGCCATAGCAGCAGCAGCTGAGAGTGTAGCCAGCCATAAAGACATTAAAATGCAATGTGTTTGTTTGTATGTCGACCTCTGTGTGTGTGGTTCGTTTCACATTTCTCCATAAAATACCCAGCCACTGACGGCAACAGGTAGCATGTGGGATAAGATCAAGGGCAAACAATGCACAATTCTCTATTGGCATAAAGGAAATGCAGCTAACATACATATATACATATGTATATACATATAAATATGATGATACATTGTTTGTGCACATAATTCTAAATATGATTGTATGCATATTTGCTCAGTGGTTTAAAATCCTATGAAGGCAACTTTGTAGCAAGACCCACGTGGTATTCATACATATTTACTCACATCATTGTTTATTACATAGAACGAAATTCAATTGAAATTGTGGCAACATAAACCTGTGCTGTGTTGTTGGTACTTAAAATGTTTTTTTTTGATCTATTTACACAAAATGAGTTTACTGTAAAATAATTTCTTTATTACCATATCCGCGGAGCTGAAACAATGAATTAGCATTTACATAAACATTTTACGAAACAATCGAAAAATTGAATTTATTTGATTTCAATGAGATTAGGCATTAGAAACAAATAAATTTTTCTATTTTATTTGCTTTCATTGAGGTGATGTGTTCTGACCAAACCCATCTGTTTTTTTTGTTCCATTAATTGATTAAAGAACTCAGACGGAAAAAAGTCTCTCCAGTAATAGTATTGAAGCACTTTGCTAGGCCATTTCTCCTTAAGCCCTCTTTATTCGACCTTTATAGATGTCTTGGTGCCTTTTTCTTGGGTACTTGATTTCCAAGGCTTAATTAGTATGTCGCCGAATCTTAAATTTAGCCGAAACTGCTTCTTATCATACAGTTAAAAGACTCATCGTGCCTAAAGTACGTGGCGTCTTTCCACGCACCTTATATTGAGCTGTTTTGAGTACTTAGCTGTGTGCTTCGTTGTAGGAATATTGTAGGGGAAATATCATCTTCAGTGCTACCTACCAACCTTCTAATTTTGGATCTTAATTTGGTTTATCATTCCTGGCAAACCGCTACTAAATGTCATGGTGTAAAAGAGATCCCGGTAAACAATGACGCCCATTGTTACGCCTTGGATTTTAGTCCTCTGAGCGCGGGAAAAATTCTTGAACCTCTACATCGCAAGGGCAAAGTTCCTTTCTAAGTATCGTGAATAACTTCCAATGTTATTGTTGTGGTGGCGGTTACGTTGACCCCGTTTTGGGGCAGATTTAAAATCAATCAATTTGAGCACCGAGGTCATCTAACGGAAGGTGCAGGAAACGTGCTGTTTCGACGGGTTAGGCTAGATGCGTTGGCTTAAGGGGGCATGTGAAGAGATGTTTAGTGTCTTGCAAAGACTCTCCATATACTGGGCATAAATTCGGTATGCTGTGGTCGAATTTGTACAGACTTAAGTTGTGCGCAACTCTCAAGACAGCCGGTTCTACGCACCGGATTCGACTCGAATTTTATCTGGCCAAGGGATGTCATCCTTTCGACGATCTAACTCCGATTAGGTCAACATATAACAACATTAATAACTTGAGGTTGATTCTTGTACCAAGTTGCCTTAGTTCCGCGATTATCGATCCACGCTGACTTATAATTCTTTTCCCTACCATTTTTTTCCATTGAAAGCGCTGTCCTATGCCCTTTATGCTCACTACCTTTGGCTTGCCCCCGAGAGTGCTTTAGTTAAATTAATGAATCATCATATTTAAGTGATTTTAAATCAAGTTGTTCTAAAACTCACGAAGAAATTTTATGCTAATCGCTTCCCTGGCATTGCTTTCGGTGGCCACTTTCAAACAAGCTGTCGTTAACAAGTAAAAATTCTCCCCACCCTACAACAGCAACAACTTATACATCGTTTACACACAGTAAACAAGTATAAAATAATGCGAATGTGTTGTAAAACGTCCATAAATCTACTTGTGACATGCTAATATATTTTTGTTAAGGAAAACTGTATAATAAGAGGGGTCAAAGGTGAAAGGGTATGTGCAGCAGCCATTATGAAAGCAGCTAATAAAGAAGCATTGGCGTGTGACATTTCTTTTATTAAGTTCACTTTATTGAGTACCAGTCGATAGATCCTTTACAGTTATGGCAAATACAAGTGAATGTGTATGTGTGTGTGTGTGTGTGTGTGTGTCGGCTGTATGTGTGCAGAGGTCCATTTGAAAAGTCATATTGCAAAACAATGCAATTATGATTTATGTATGTAATTGTGTTGCGCTTTGTGGGTAACTTAATAGATAGTACGTAGATACTACATAACTGTAAACTTGTATATTTATTTATAAGTAAATTTCCATTCAGTGCAGCGCCTTTCAAAATGTGCCCAAGCAACATGAAAACGAACGCGGAAATTTGATTAGATCTGATAAAATGTTTTTATGTATTTTATATACATACATAGGTACGAGGGGATTAACAAAAGTTCGGTAAGTTGACCAGAAAAAAAATCTTATTGTAATCACCATCGATTTGAATGCATTTTTAAGCCTATAGAGCCTCTTCTGAGAACAGTATTCAAAACCTTGCTTTTTAAGCTTCTCAAGAGAAGCATCAACCGCATTGACTATTTCCTCGTTGCTATTAAAGACTTTTCCTTTTAACTTTTTTTTTAATTTTTGAAAATAACAAGAAATCTCAAGGTGCTATTTCCCGAGAATTTGGTGCTGGATGTATTTCTTCGATCCCAGACCATTCACAATGCCATACATTCGTCGATTTGAATAACACGCAGTCGACGGCGATTTTTCGAACAAACTTATATTCAACGACGTGGCGCACTTATTACTCGGGGCCTACGTAAATAAGCAAAATCGTCGCATTGGGGACTCCTCAAATAATTGCAGATAGGCGACTTACCCAAAATATCTTACTATCTGTTGCCCTCTTTTGTTCGGAAGTGTGATTGGATCTTTTTTCTTTGAAAATTACAACGGCGAGACTATCACTGTCAATTGGGAAATTGGGAAAGTTATGGTTGTATGATAACCGACTTTTTTTGGACTGCAATCAAAGAACTCGATTTGAGCCATGGTTTCAACCAGATCGTGCCACACAACGCTAGCGAGGAGGTTTTATTGCGAGAATCTCACGTCTTGCGAATGTCAATTACCCACCGAGATTGTGCGATTTGACGCTGTTGGATTTTTTTTTTGTAGGACTACGCTTAAGACCGTGTTTATGCCAATAAGCCTTTAGCTCATGAGTATTTGAAAGCCAACATTCGTCAAATTATGGCTGAAAATG